CATAGTGACCCTGTATAGGGTTTCCAAGGAGCAGCTGGTGAGCTTGAACCACCGACCTTGCAGTTCAAATGGCTTTGCAGTTAACCCACAGCATCACACCAGGACTCCTACATACTCCTTAGCCCCACCTAAATCCTTACTTCTTAGTTGTACCTTAATCCTTCTTGTTGTTGTTAGGTGCCATCAAGTAGGTTACGACTCATAGTGACCCTGTAATAGGTTTTCCAAGGAGCAGTGGTGGGTTTGAACCACCAACCCACCTTAATCCTGCCTCATAAAGAATTCATTTCAAAATGGGTCTGTAATCACAGGTATAGAGGCTAGGCTTTACAACACATTACAAAATGGAACAATGTGCTAGAAAGGCCATAATAAATAATTAACTGTCCTGAAGCATATTTTTATTAAAAAAAAACACTACAAAATAAATAAAAAGTCATGAGAAGAAAAGTATTATTTCACCTTTTTGCTATTCTCTCTCATGGCTGACTTCATAGAAGACTGATGAATTCCCAGCGTCAGCTTCTGCATTCATTCTGATGGGATATCACATGACATGTACCCTCATGAGGGAGTAAGAGTGAGCCCTAATGTTGTATCCCACGCCCCCACTTTGTATCTGTGCAGTTCTGTGAATTCTGAACCTTTTAATCATTTCTTGTCCTATGGGATGCAGAAGCTGAATCATTAATAAATCAAAACCCTTCTAGTTGTAAAATATAATCATGTTCATTGACTAATGGATCACTATGCCCCACCACATATTTTTAAATACACAGTGCTGAGTCTCAGGGCATTCTGACATCTCCTCTGCCTTCCCTGTTTGTCTGAGCACTCCGAGACTGGAGCATGATGTAAAACTGCAGGTATATTTAGAGTTGCAAGAATAACAATGTACGACAGGCCACCTTGCAGATAAACAGTTGGATGGTCTATTTCCTGTCCCCCACTTCTTCCCTAAAAGAACTTCAACCCAACCCATGGGATCACCCACTTAAAGACATTTCAGTATATGAATCCAAAAACTACATACCAACAAATCAGAGTTGAACTGATTATTAACAATACAGAAGAATGCTTTCATTGTACCACATGGTTCCTTAATAATAAATTCCCTGTTAGCATTTAATTTACCAGTAGTTCATTCAGACAAAATTTATATAAAGCCTTTTTTATATAGAGAGGTATATATATAGTTAAAATTGAATACTGTCAAACACCTTAGCTCTAGTCTCATCTTCCTCTCACACATCCATTGCACAAAGAAAGTGAAACTGTAGAAACTAGAAACAAACACATGCCTAGTATCAGGGGGCAATTAGGCACATCATGATTATTTAAACAGAATCCTGCATTGCCTTGAAAATAGCATGGGCATGAATGATTGTGTCATGGAACTCCATCTGGGCAAC